GAGGGGAGGGCCAGCGCTGTTGGGTCTCGGTCCAGGGCGGGACTTCCCCCACCCAATCCGAGGGCCCTCCTGGGCCTCCACCCAAGCCACCTGCGGGCCTCGTACCCGTGCCACCGAAGCCGTGCATATCTATCTGTTCCAGCAGGTACATGAGGCAGGTGTTGACCTGGGGCAGGAGGCCCAGGAGGAAGACGAACGGGAAGCACAAGGTGAACACTGGCAGGGCGGGAAGACGGAGGCCCAGTCAGCCCGCTGGCCTCCCCTTGGCCCCCCTTCAGGGCTCGCCCTTCTGGGCCACCACGGCCCACCCCAGCCTCACCAGTAGCCACGTCTCGGGCACAGAAGAAGAAGGAGGCGGAGAAGAGTGTGAGGCCATAGAGAGAGACGGGGGGGAAGGGCTGGGCTGAGCCCAGGGTGTCCAGCAGCCAGATGAGCAGACAGCAGATGCAGAAGTAGACGGGACGGCTGTATGCGATCACCCAGTTGTGGCCCTGGGGAGGCAGCCATGAGCAGCTGGACCTCCCCACTGGCCACCCCCAGGTACACGCACACGTTCACACGCCCTGGGCTTGACCCTGGGTCCAAGCTAGAGAGCCCAGCAAGCTGGGACAGGGTGGGTGGCTGGGGAGCCCTGTCCCACCCGCCTCCCCAGCTGGCCTCAGCCTCCCAGGGCCTCATGGCAAGAGGCGCTGCGCCACCGTACTCACGTGCATGGGAGACGCCGCATCAGGCTGGACGCTCTGGAAGAAACAGGACTACCTTGGCAACGAGAACGGGCACCCTCAGAAGGGTCAGGGCCCCAGGACCCATTCAGTTCTACTGCTGGGCAGTTACGGGGCAGGACCCTGAACCCTCCTGAACCTGTTTTCTCACTTGGAAGATGGGTGGCTGGCTACAGGGGACCTGAAGCATCTCATCTGCCTTCCAGCTCACACCCTTCAAAACTGGAACTGGGGGAAGGGGAACACCTGGGAAAAGCTGGGTGGGGAGGGAGACACAGGGAGCCAGGCCTGACCTTCAGCAGGGAGTACTGGCAGGAGGCGATGACCAGGCAGAACTGGAAGACCCAGATGTCAGTGAAGAAGCCCTTGAGCAGCAACAGGTAGCCCAGGAAGGCCACAAGGCTGCTCAGTCCGACGCCGAAGATGTTCTCCACCACCCCTCGCGTCCTACAGAGACAGCTGAGTCAGGGTGCCCTCCCGCCTCACCTTCTAGGCCATTCTGCTGTTCCCCTGCTTCCCAATCTGTGTCCCCTCTGGAAACTGAGAACTCAAGGTGCCGTCGCTCCTTGACTTGTCCGTCTCCAGCTCATGCTGACAGGCAACTGCACGTGGCTACAACCTGCACACTACACCGGGCAGGCCATGTTACACACACAGGCAGTCCCAGCACCTGGCCACCATGCCAGGATGAGTCCAGAGGGACAGGAAGACAGAGCATGAGTTCTAGGCCTAAGTCCTTGACAAGAGACAATAGTCATCGGACTTTTCTGACTTTCCGGGCCTCGGCTTCCCCTCTGAGAAACGGGAAAGCTGAAACAGGTGGGGTGGGAGCTTTTTCCGGTTACAGCATTCAATTTCCAGACCAAATCTAAGGCAGGAGCAAATAAAAATACCAAGGTGAGCAGGGATTGTTTGTTTTGGGCAGGACTTTGGGAGAGGCGGGGTCACTACAGCACTACCCACTTAGCCATGTAGAAAACCTAAAGAAATATCCCTGCGGCCTCCAGCTGTCGATACCCTTGGCTTCCCCAGCAGTTAGGCTCCCTGCTGCCATGACTGTCCCCGCATCAGGATCTATAGACATTCTAGGGATTGGAGACACGGCAGGGCCACTCACCGGTCCAGCAGGGCAAGCAGGGCAAGCCGCTCATAGCGCACAGAGGTCCAGCGGCCGGGAAAGAGCCAGTACTTGTAGCTGTGCTGGGCACGGGGCGGTGCCTCCTCCATCAGTGTCTGCTCCTGGGATTCGTGCAGGGAGTCCTGGTCCAGCAGGTCGAACTGCAGTCCCCACAGCCGCGGCCGTCAGCCCCCCCGCCCCCCGTGGTCTGCCGCCACCCTCACCCCAGCACACTGGCTGGCTCACTCGTCTCTCAGCCCAGAAAGGCCCCACCGGCTAGCACTCTCGAGGCCTGCCTGGCCCTTATCATAGGGGCTGCTCCTCTCGCCAGGTTCCCGGACATGGCTCGATGGCTGCCGGGCATTAGTCACCGGCTCCCACATCCCTCTTCCCTACGCGGGCAGAATCTCCCAGCCCCTCCAGAGCTCAGCGAGATCCACCCTGTCCTTCCCGACCTGGTCCAAGTGCTGCCCTACCAGACAGAGCTATCGCTGTTACTCTGACTGTCCAACCCTGGAATGCACAAGTGCCAGGCCAGACCTGGATGCCAATGCTGGCACTGTGAGGCCCTGGGCACACAACTTAAGCTCCTTGGGCTTCCTGTGTCCTTCACTCAGCAAGCATCTGTGGGCACAGCTGTGGCCTGGCCCTGGGGCTCCGAGGAGACAACGGAGGGCCAAACACAGCCCCTGCCCCTGGGGTAGCCATCAGCTGTGTGGGAAGGACAACACTGCCCACCCCACGTGACGTTTATGAAGAGCTCAGGAAGGGACATGTGGAGACTCCTAGGGCCTGCTCCCGATCTATCTGTGGCCCTGGGTGTCACATGCATGGCCGCCTCTCATGACTGTGCTTCCAACTCTGAGATCGTGTCATGCATTTTCAGTACTTCTGCTTTACGGGATTAACCATGTAAGTTACTGTCCAAGCTGGGATGTTTTTAGAAGTAAAAAGGGGACACTGTATGCAGAATGTGCTGAGACAAAGAGCGTTAACAGAGAAGGCCCCAGGCAGGCACGATGTCAAAGTGTTGCGCAGAGGGACAGCAGTCACCACAAGGTCACCACTTGACTCAACGTGCTGCTACTTCTGCAAGTATCGTCATTAACGGCCATCTCCCTGCTAACTGTGGGTCCCTCTGCGATTAGGAAGACACCCCAGACACGACTGAACGAACAAACGGCTTCTCAAGCCATCCAGATCCAGGGCCTCTACCGACCGTCTAAGTCAGGACAGACACGGGTGGCCCTGGCGCTCTCGCTCAGCATGGCCTGTGCCTTCGGGAGTGCCCGGGCGAGCTCACTATGCAACCAGGCTCATTGACCTACCCACCCCCACAACCCCCTCCGGCAAGGCCCTTCCCAGCCAGCCGCTCCTCACCTCTGGGATCTCCAGGGGCACCCGGCGCACCTGCATGCCCTGTAGAACCACGGGCCTTGGTTGCAGCAGGTTCAGGCCGCCTGAGGCCTCGGGGACATCAGCAGAGTGGAAGCTGGAGGAATGTGAGTGGCGGTCCCTGTGGAATGGCAGCCGGGAGGGTCAGGGCCGTGGTGAGCCCTGGGACTAGCTGAGGCTGAGGCTGGAGGGGGGGCTGTCTGTACTCAGACAGACAGGGGTCCCAAGGGACAGAAGCAGCACTGGGATCAGGAAATGCCTCCCTCCCAGGCCCTGGCTGGACGTTGTTAAAGCCCCAGCCCCGGTCGGTAATATATTCCCAGCACTTTGGGAGGCTGAGATCAGTGGATTGCCTGAGCCCGTGGGTTCGAGACCCACCCAGACAATTTGGCGAGACCTCGTTTCTACAATAAATAAAAAATAGCCGGGCGTGGTAGCGCATGCCTGTAGTTCTGGCTACTTGGAAGGCTGGGGCGGAAGGATCGCCAGAGCCCAGCAGGTCGAGGCTGGGGTGGCCAGCAACATGTCACCGTACTCCAGTCTGGGCGACAGAGTGAAACTTCAACTCAAAAAAAAAAAAGCCCCAGCCCCTCACCTTCCTCCCACCAGCTCAGGGCTTCCTGGAAGCCGTCTACCTGGAGTGTCTTGAAGCCAGGGACCCCGGTCTGCCCTTCGATGCTCTCCATCCTGCCCCTGCCACTGCCAGGATGAGCGGCCCCTCCCAATCCCAGCAACAGGAGAGAAAACTCCAGGCTCAGGGTGCTGCCCAGAAATGCAGCTCATCAGGCCACTGGCCCAGGAGAGGCCACGCGCGTGGACTTACCAGGCTCCGTTGGCTGCCTGCTCCGCCTGCTGCCCCACGGGGTTTTCGTAGCCACCTCCAGCCAGGCCAAAAGTGTAGGAACGCCGCACACCTGGGGTGAGACGTGGGCAGTGAGGCTGCGTAGCAAGGACAGGAGCACCAGGCCCAACCCATGCAGACCCCAGGGCCACCAGATGAGGCAGAGCCCTGTGCTATGTTCCCCGGGATGGCGGCCCAGGCCCCGGGAACCAAGAGCTGCACAGGGAAAGTTCTGCAGGCCAAGGACCTGGGGGACTGGAGGCGCGGGACCACCGGGGTTAAGGGCGCGCTCACCACTCTCATCGTAGAAATAATGCACAGCGCCCTCAGAGGTGTCGTCAAAGGTGCAGGCCTCATGCACATTGGCACCGGCCCGGGTGAGCAGCAGAGAAGAGGCGAAGTGCAGGGCAGAGGGCAGCGTCAGAGCCCGTGAGTGGGAGGCCGCGCGGCCCCGCTGAGCTTCCTGCAGACTGCTGGGGAGGGGTCAGCCAGGTCAGCACCAGTTAGAGCCAGCTGGGCCCCATGCCCCTCTACCTGGGCGGTCAGGCGCTCACCTGGGTGGCGAGCCCATGACGGAGGCTGGAGGAGTGGGGTTGCTGCCCGCATTGTGACGCCTTCGGATAGCCTGGGTCCGCCTCACACTGCTGGAGCGGTCCCGCCGGCCGGTCTCCTCGGCTGCTGCCCGGAGAGAGGCCTGAGTTATAGCGACAGAGCCTCCACTAGGGTAGGGGTGGGGCCGGTGTTCTGTGGGGACCTAAAAGCCAAGCCTAGTACAATCACACGCTGGCCCTGGGCCTGGTAAAGTCACCTAGCCGCTCCTGCCTCCGTTTCCTCATTAGGAAGAAAGGGCGACACCGATCTGCCCTGCCCTGCCCTGCCCCGCCAGTGGCGGGAGGACGAACATGGACGAGAAGGGTCCTCAGGGGACAGACGAGAAGGGTCCTCAGGGGACAGAGACTCAGGTGCCAACCGCGGGACCTGGCTGAGCCTGCTTGTCCAAGAGGTTTGGCTGACGTCACGGGCTCCACATCCACTTGCTGCTTGAGACGGAGGCTGAGGTACCCCAACCGGGTCCCCTGCAGCCTGCCCTCTGCCCAAACCCGAGCCCCAGCCCGTCTTCCCAACTCCCGCCCCTGAAGCCAGCACTCACCTCCCCCCACAGCACCTTCCTCCTGCAGCTCCCCCCGCCAGCCAGGCTGGTTGGCGGCAGGTCCCCTTCGGGCCTCGGCAGGCAGCAAAGCAGGCTCGCCGACAGCTAGCTCAACCCCTACCTGGGCCTCCAGCTCGGCCTTGGAGCCAGCCAGGGGCGCCCTCAGGACATCACCCCCTGCCCCATCCATGCTCAGCACGCGGGCATGTGTTTTGGCGCTGGCAGTACTGGGCGTCCGCTGGGTCCCGTAGGGCCGCTTGGGGGGCACAGCAGTCCCCTCCTCAGCCCCGTGGGGCGCCCGCCGCTTCCGGGCCCCCCCTGCTGCACCTCGGGAGCTCTCGGGGGAGTAGCAGGAAGTGGAAGAGGAGCTGTCAGTACTGTAGCGACGCTGTGATTGGAGGCTGGAGGCCGGGCTCAGTTCGCTGCCCTCGCTGGTGTCTTCGTCTTCAAAGAAGCCTGCCCCCTCAAGCAGGGGTCGTCGAGGGGCACGGCCAGGTGGAGAGTGTCTTCGCATGGGCGGCCGCCGTTTGCTAGGCCGCAGCAGGGCCAAGTCCTTGGGCCGCACAACCAGGAGTGGCTCAGCCGGGCCCGGTGGCGTCCCTGCTCCGATGACTGTGTCAAAGGAACGCAGCGTGTCATCTGAGGGGACCCCAGCATCTGGTGAGGCTGGCAGCTCAGCCTCAGAGGGTGGGTCTGTGTCACTGCCCTCGGGGGCCTGTCCCCCGGGGGGGCTGTCCAGGTGGGTCGAGTTGGTCTTCTCGCTCTTGAAGCTGCTCAGCGTCTCCCTGTCGGTACCACTAAAGCAGGAATCCGAGGAGCCAGCCTTCTGGGGCATGGGCTCACCTGAGCCCCGTCGGTCCAGGGGCTGGTAGCCGCCCGCTCCCCGCCGCTGCTCCCGTCGACTGCTGGTCCTTACCAGAGCCCGGTCAGGCCGGGTCAGGGTCAGAAAGCTCTTGCTCAGCTCCTGGCTGAGGCTCCCCTTGAGCAAGGGGCTCATGGGAGTGTCAGCCACACTGCTCACGCTCCAGGGAGCGCCATCTCCAGCCAGGGGAGACCGCTCTGAAGAGTCCGTGCTGGGGAGAGAGGGGTCTGGGGCAGCCCCTGGGGGTGTCTGGGGAAGATCTCCAACTGTCAGAAAAAGGAAGACAGAATGAGAGAACATCCTGCCTCAAAACTGGGGACGAAAAGTGGGGGATCTTATGATCTCTGCCTTCCCTGAAAGCCCAGCCCAGGGAGGACACTGAGGAAGTCCCATCCAGGAGTATAAACGGAACCCCAGAATGGAGCAAAAGCTGGGGCGATTCAAAGACAAAACAGCTGTCGCTTACTCAGTTTCTCCTGCGAGCTGAGCTTCAGCATCTCCCGATCGGCTGAGGTCACAATCACATTGTTGCTGCCCTGCTCCCGTACTAGCTCCTTGATGTCTGCAACCACGGCCCCAGAAGTGTCAGCCAGACCCCAGGGCAGCCGCGTGCCAGCCCCGTTCCACACCACTAAGCTCTGAGCCTGAACAGCTGCCACCTACCTCTGAGGGGCCCAGAGTCCTCCATTCGGGGCAGCAGCTCCTGAGCAGACAGAGAAAGGCGTGAAGGAGCAAACAGGGCAAGAAGCAGGCTCACGACACACCAGTGGCAGGGTCTGGCTTGCAGAAGAGCGGTAGGACAAGCTGAGGGCTGGGCCCACTCACCGAGACCTGGTTGAAGCCAAACACGGAATGCTGGGAACTGCAGCGCACCGGGGGTGTGGAACTCACTTTCCGGAACACTGTCATCTCCACTCCAGGGTCCCTGGCAGTGGAAAAAAAGCAGCAGCTTGAAGCTAACGTCCATTCTTTCTATGCTACTTCCCATCCTCGATCCCTCTTCTTCAAAGGTCCTGTTCCAGTTCCAGGACTGACCACAGGCAAATGCTCACCGTCACTTACAAAGCTGAAGTTCCCTGAGCACTTATGCCACCCGGCAAGGGCAAGGCCAAGCCCAGGCGCCAAGGACACAGCTCCACCCACCTGGGAGGACTGCTGTCCCCCTGAGCAGGCTCCTCCTCCAGCTCCCCCATGGTAGAGTTGCGCTTCTCCACGATCTCGCCCTGATCGAACATGGCGTGCAGTCGATAGTTCACAGTCTTGATGGTAGCAAAGATGACGGCCACCACGAGGCAGTACACACCAGCCACCATCAAGCTGGGGGGCAGGACCTGGAGATGAAAGCGGGTCTGGGCCTGTCTCACAAAGCGCTGCCCCCACAAGGTGCACCTCTGTCGTGACTGAGATTCACAAATTCCCAAAATAACCATGTCACCCCTCCACACCACCAGCACATAGGCCTCGTTCAGGGGCTGTGACTTCTTTTTAGCTGGAACTAGAGATTCAACGAGGGGCTCAAGGTCACCCGTCCCCAGAAAGAAGGATGTTGGCTTCTTTTCCACAGACCCCAACTCCGTGGCGATTCTCTCTCCACCCCCCGCAGCGCCCAAGGCACAGTCCCCAAACCCTGCCGGGCTGCCCGCGCCCCATGACATCCCTCCTTCCCTCCCTCTCCCAGCCGGAGTTAGAGGTGGCGGAGGCGTCTCACCATGTACAGCAGGAAGGGAAAGGTGAGCAGAAAGATCCAGACGTAGAGGTGGAAGCAGTTGGAGAAAGTGCTCTGGTGCGGGTCGAAGAACCAACCGCCGGTGAGCGAGGCCCACACCCCCTGGCGCAAGATCTGCAACACCTGCGACCCCATGGCCCCGCC